AAGGGGAGGGCGACGGGCGAAATGGAAAAGGAGCAGCGCGGAAGGGGCCGGAAGAAATAAGTCCTCCGGAGGGCGACTCTCATGCGGAGTGGGCCGGCCAGGCGGGGCGCGGTCCCCCAAGGGGAGCGGCGGGGCGGGGCGTTGTTGGCGGACGGAAAAGAATGGCTCTGCACTTTGCTGCACACGATCATATTTTTTTCCCCCTCATGGCAGTTGAAATTAAGGCCAGCGCTGCGAGAGAGCGAGCGGCTGGCCGGTATGGGGCCCGCGCAGAATTTAGCATTTTACTGGACGCGATAAGGTTTGGTCACTGTTACATCGGGTCGACCCCCTCTCCCCCCCCCCCCCACACACACACACAAGTCCTTGCGTAAGTGATCGTGGAGGATAAAGAGGGGTGGGCCTGTCCCGCAGACCGCACCAGACACCAGACCCACCTCACAACGTCGGATGTGTGGGGAAAATTTGTATTTTTGTAAGTTGGGCTGAAACCATCACGCCCCCCTACCTTTCTCCTGGCGCGGGGCGCCCCGGGCGGGCTGAGGTGGCGCGCTGGCCCCGCGCGTTGTGCGGCGCCGAGGCCGAGGCCGCGCGGGGGGCTGGTCCGGAGGCCGCGGGGCGGCGGGAACGGCCTGCCGGCCAGGAAGTAGGCCTCGGCCTCCTCGTCGTCGTCCTCGCTGGACGAGGTGATGACGCAGTAGCACTGGACCTGGTGCGGCCGCAGCGCGACGAGCCGGCCGCCGGGGGTGCGTCGCCGGGGCTCGCGGCTCGGCCATGACCTGGAGGGACGCCCATAATGCACTCTTTATGGAAATAATAGAATATTTCGGCGTCTAACTCCAGCCTTCCTTTTTAGAAAAGACAAAATTGTTGCGATTGTGAAAAGATCAACAAAAAAGGACTGTGGTGTGCTGGACGCACGGCTGGACGCCTACCTGGAGCGGCGCCGATGCCGGGGCCGGCTCCGCCTCCCCGCCCGCTTCAGCGCCCCTGGGGACACGGGCAGCCCCAGAGGGATGACGCCGACCACGTGGTAGTAGTCGAGGTAAGTCCTGGCCACGTTGCGGCCTAGGCGGTAGTCTGCTGTCTGGTCAAGGCTCGCACCGCAAAACCACCAACCTCTTTCGCAAACAACCCCACCTTCCCGCCCCCTGCATACTTTGACCTGACGCGACCTTTGGCAAAGGAAAAGGATACAGCCCTCCTCGCTGTAGTTGAGGAAGTAGGGCGGCGAGTCCCGACGGTAGCCGTGCAGCGAGGCGAACAGCGTGTAGCAGTTGACCGAGTCCTTGAGGGTGGCGCACAGGTACCTGCGGATAACGACCGGTTAGTTGTTGGAGAGCAGCGAGCGCGCTGGACAATATAGGGCTCCCCATGGCTCACCTGCGCGCCGTGCCGGCCTTCTTGGGGTCCCTGTTGTACATGGTGTCGAGTGAGTTGAAGTCCTCGGCGTTCTGCGCGAGCAGCTTCGGGTACACGATGTGCCTCTCGAACCTGCATCACCACGAATGAATGTCCCGCGACCAATTTATGCGAGGACACGAGGACAAAAGAGATTCTTCTCTTTTTTTCCCCGGGCTAACAGGACGCTGAGGAGACACTCCTCGCTCTGCTCTGATGTCTTCCTTTTTTCCTCCTTTGGCAAGACTCTGATGTCGTCTCAGCGATCAGGTTGGCCCAGAAGAGGAGACGGGCCAGGGCTAGGGTGGGTGGGGAGCTAAGGCGATTTGGTACAAGACGAGGGGAGGTAAACTCACCCGCAGGTGAGGTGAGGGGCGGTGAGGGGGTGTAGGGAGGGGGACGGAGGCGAGGGCGTGGATTCGCATTGGTGCTGTGCGCGGATTTCGCCACATTCACATCTTCACCCACCCCCTCCAGCTTTTCCTCCCCCAACCCGACGTTCAGTTCACGTGAGTCTTATTTTCCGCGGAGGCGAGAGAGAACTATTTTCGCGTTCGCGAAGAAGGATTGCTTTTATTCCGGCGGGTGTGAGAGAATCTGATCATCGTTCTCAGTGAAGGGGGAGGATGGGTCAGGGGGAGCGTCAATCTGTAGATTGGACACATATCTCCTGGCAGGTAGGCAATAGGTACAATTCTAATTCTGTAAATAGGCAGGCAGGTGGTCGCTACATACGGTGACGACAGGTCCGATTTACCTGTACACGTCGTCGTACGAGTTGCCGTAGATGAAGGCGCCGTGCAGACTGGTGTGGGCATGGATATCGAACACGAAGTCGAGATGGACGTCCTGGAAGCGGAGAGAAGGGAAAGAGAAATGTAAAGCATAGTCGGGGCACAAACTCACATTAGCACAACAATGCGCGTGCAACGCGTTGGCGGACGTCAGGGAGGCGGCCGGGGCGGGCGGCGCTAAAGGGGCTGCGGAGCCGAAGCCGGCCGTCAACGTCAGCACCGCCCTCGAGCCGGCAGAGCGCGGACTCGGTGTCCTAACTTTTAACGACGGTCCATAGAGAGCGGGTATGGGCGAGCAGCCGGACGTGGAGGGGGTACGATAATCCCCAAGACTTGCGCGCAGCTCGGCAGCACGCGCCCCGCTCGCCCCCCAGCCGAACCGCCAACAGTTCCAGATCGCTGGAGCCGAACTTTGTTCTTTATTCCAGTTTCGAGTGGTCTGTTTCTGTTCTGGCCCGGGCGAGCTCAACGACACTCTCGTGCGGCGGTTGGGTAAGGGTAACCTTCCGACCTCCGCTAGGTTGGTGCCAGTGACGGTGTCTTCCTTTACCTTTCTCTGGTTGAGGTCGGCCAGCAGGTTCTGTACCGCGTCCAGGGTCGGGTGTGACAGAGGGGTGGCGTCGATCCACCCCCTATTGAGGTCGATGCCTAGCAGCGAGCACCTGCACATATCACGACCGTGAGGACACCATGAGGGCCCATGGGACCACAGCAGACGACACCGCTGCCGCCGTTACCTCTGGTTGCCGAGGAAGACGCCGTCGGGGTTCATCATGGGGACCACCTTGAAGATGACGTGGTCGCGGAGCAGCACGGCGATGGGGTGGCTGCTCACCAGGAAGTCGATGAGCCCCTGGCAGATGAAGGAGGCCGGTGCCTCGCCGGGGTGCACTCGCGCCAGGATCACGACGACCCTCTGGTTGAGCGGCGCGTCCATGTTGGACGACGCCGTGATGGTGAGCACGTCCAGCCGCCGGTGTTGCTGGGCGCGGACCACATCTGACATAAACCACACCCTCGCAGCAGCTCACCAGCAGAGCTCACCAGCGGAGCTCACCAGCAGCAAAGAGCTCACCAGCGACACGGTGAGCACCTCCCTGCGCACGTGCGGCAGCGCCTTGCGGTCCAGCTGCTCCAGGTGCGCCTGGCAGCGCGAGTACGAGTAGGGCCGGCACAGCGCGAAGTGGTAGATCTCCTCCTCGCGGTCGAAGGCAAACGTGAAGGAGAGCACGTAGTGGTTGCGGTGCTCGGGCGAGCGGTAGTAGTGCACCACCTGGTTGGGCAGCCGCTGCCTGCGGCGTCACGCGGTTACGCGGTTACACAGACAGACGGGCTCGTCACCCTTGCAGAATCCTCTTACCATTTCGGTCGGGTGGTGGACCGGACGATGGGCGTCATCCCGTCTAGCAAGTGATTCTTCTTCTTGCTCATGTTGACGATGTTGAATATGACCCTCTGCCAGAAACACGACCACAAGGAGGCTGAATCAATCGACATGAGCACGAGAAAAAACAGACGGGCTGCGGCGGGGAGGGAACCACTGACCTACAAAGCCTTTCGAGCATCCCGCGCGCGCGGGGCCCGCGACCGCCATACTCGTCTCTCAATAAGTCATGTGGAGTTGTTGTGTGGGGATGTAGGAGGCGCCCTGCCCGTGACAGCTTGAAACAACCCCTCATTCTTCCATCCCGACCCTCCCCCTCTCCCTCCCTCCCACTCCATCACCCTCCGTCCCTCTCGCTCTCCGTGTTCCCACACGCTCGCATGCCTGGTGCCGTCCTTCTCCAGAAACATACGGATTACCCACCGCCACCGCTGGCTCTGCCGCCGGGGGGTGGCGGGGCGGGGCGGCATTGCCTTAATCACGCTCCCACCACCCCCACCCC